CCCAGGCTACCTGTCCTTGCTTCCACCCTCTGTAGGCTTCCTTTTTGTGAGTTTCTCCAGGAGTTCCTTGTTCATCCATGCAGCCTCCTGGCATTTTCGCCTGCCTTCCTCTTTGTTGTGATGCATCACTCCTGAGCCTGGAGGAGGTGATCCTTGAATATTAGCCAGCTTTCTTGGGCCCCTCTTCCCTCCAGAGCTTTATCCCATGGGACTCCTCCAAGCAAATCCCTGAAGAGGCCAAAGTCCTGAAGACCAGAGTAGTGAGTTTTCTGTGCACCCTCCTCGCTGTCCTAAGGGTCTTGAACTCCACCATCTCATGGTCCCTACAGCCCAGGCTGCCCTTCAGCTTCACATTCCCCACCAGCCCTTCCTTGCTGGTGAGAACAAGGTCCAGCGGAGCCCCTCTCCTGGTTGGCTCCTCTATAACTTGGAGAAGGAAGTTATCATCAACGAATTCCAGAAACCTCCTGGCTTGCCTATGCCCTGCTGTGTTGTCCCTCCAACAGACATTGGGGTGGTTGAAGTCCCCCATGAGGACAAGGGCTTGTGAACATGAGGCTGTTCCTAGCTGTCTGTAGAGGGCCTCATCTGCTCAGTCTTCCTGGCCAGGTGGCCTGTAGCAGACCCCCACTATAATGTCCATTGTCCCTGCCTTCCATTTAATCCTGACTCAGACTCCCGGTTGGCTTCTCATCCATCCCCAGGTGGAGCTCCATGCACTCCAGATGGTCACTGACATAGAAGGCAACCCCCTCCTCATCTCCCCTGCCTGTCCTTCCTGAAGAGCCTGCACCCCTCCATGCCAACACTACAGACATAGGAGACTAGCCTGGTCATTTCCCAGATCTGCACCCTCCCCTCCCAAAGCTCACCTCAGCCCATACTTTGAACAGGTATTTTCAGGATGCTCTTGTTAAGCAGATCTTGTTTTATTCAAGATTATTAATCAGGTCAACTCTTTTCAGGAGAAGGCAGGCTAAGCACCTCTTTGACCATAGCACGTAGACATGTTTCTATGTTGGTGCACCATCCAGAGGAAGACTTCTGTGCATGGGGATTTTAAAAGGTTTTCCAAATTTAAAAAGATTCATTTTATGGGAGAGAAAGGGCATAAAGGTCAAATTCCTCAAATTTCACTTACTAATAATACTCTTCAACAGTGATAAAGCAAAATTATGGTGCTGTGATAATGCTGTCCGAATTGGGATTTTAGGAAGATTTTAATCTTAAGGACAGTGAAAAATGTACATCTGAACTTGAAACACATTTTTTGGTGTCATTTTAAACTGTTACTGTAGTCTGTATATAGCTTGAAATCTCTATTGCAGTTTGAAACAGTATTTTACAAGTAGAGATATCACATATTTGTTTTAAATAGTATTTTAAAGGAAGGAAGTTGGATCCACACAGAAACAACCTGTAGCGTACGCCCTGACATCTTTTAGATAGAACTGTATGTTTTGCAAAGATTACATTTACACGTTAGTTTAATGGAAAATAAAGCAACCCCAGCTCCCAATAAAGTAAAACGTGCACACACGTGCATGTGTATATGTGTGTATATCTATACATACATACACAAAATCTAGGCCATTCGATTTGAATTTGAACAATTCATTTACTGTTTTAGCATTAAGGCTTGTTGTTTCCTCTATCACTGAACATTCCTTCTTCAGCAAGAAAAGAAGAAAGGTACTCTTCCCCATATTTTAAAAAAAGAAAAAAGAAACAACAAAAAAGCTTTTTCAGAATGACTTCCAGATCCGAATATACCCAAACAACTTGAACTCCACTCTACCAAAAAAAAAAACCAAAAAAACCTACAAGGGGAAAAATCAATAAAGATGTTGAATGATTCTTGCAAGGCTAAGTTTAATGTATAACTCTAAATATCAGTGTATATATCCGCTGCTTGGGTGCATAGCTTAAAATCTTTTCATTTCTTTTAATGTCACATTATTACTGTATTTTCTAGGTTTACTTTATTTATTTGGAGAATAATCACAGTGAAAATGTAATGCATTTTACCCAAATTATTGCATATAATTAAAATACTGTGTATTCTCTCCGTCATAACCCAATCTTAACCACATGTTAACAGTTTAAACCAATGACAAAAGACTGTTATAAGCCTTTCCTGCATTAATCAGGACAAGTCTGACTAATATTATTAATGGAAAAAAACAAACCAAAACTATTTTTTTTTTTACTTCAAGTAATCGACAATTAGAAGCCTTTGTAATTTTTAATGTTCTGTAAGAATTTATTCTGAATGTATTGAAAAAAATCTTGGGTAAACAGGGTGCAACATTTTAATTTTTAACTACAAACAACTGAGTGCTTATAAAATCCTCACCACATTGCCCTGTGGTGTTAAACACCTCACGTGGTCCATCCCCGAAGCAGCTGATAAAGCTATTCCCTACCTGACTCTCTGTTTCTCACCAAATTCCTTGAAGTGCAGGGTTTCATTTCATAAAGTCAGAAGCCTTTACACCACATAAAATACTTCCACCAAGACTGAAGAGCATAAGAGAGAGTGTAACAAAATGCAAACAAAGCACTTGTCATGGAAGGTTATAAAAGAGTTTGGGAAGCTTGCATCAGGAAGAAAAGCAGCAAACAAACTCAGTATTGCTGCAGGGAGAAATGGGTGAGCTGACAAAACTCCACCACTGGCAGTACCCAACCTATGACAACACTTCACCCCCATGCTGCCAGTCATGCAGTCATTCAACATGGTTCATTTTGTGCTTAAGAGTATGTGTAAATAATTTTGGAGGCTGGTTATGGCCTGATGTCCACTTAACAGATAAATAAAAATATCCCCGTGAGAAAAAAGTGTCAGTTTTGTGTGTCAACTTTTAGTGCTGCTGAAAGAGCCAAGCCTGATGACACGAGAGATCAAAGTCCACTAAGAGAAAGCACAATACGGGAAGCAATAATACAAAATTACTCCCACCCAGCCTGGTGACCCTGCCTCCACGTGAACTGGCAAAGAGATCCTGAGATCCTTTTCTGTCATGTCTTTGGCTGCTGTGCTAAAATGGTCAACAAGTATCATTAGTTCCATCAGCTACCCAGGTAGTTTGCGATCCAGACAGTCCGTATTCATCGTTTCACGATGTATGTCCTCGTGTACAAGTTTGCGTGGGTGTGTATGTACACGCACGCACTGACTAGCAGACTGCACAGAGCTGATGCACATGCCAGTGTTTCAAAGTCTGACACCATCCAGCTGTTGAATATAATCAGAACCTGGATGGGGAGATTGTAAAAACCTGCTGATACCGACAGAAACACCGGCAGCAGTTCAGAAGACCACACTCTTCCCCTCAGACCTGCATTAGCATGGAAACAGAAGCATCGCCCAGCCTCCTGCAGGCAAAAATAAAGCAAAAGTTCTGAGCTGGACTCTACTGAAGTACCTACTGTAACACAGAGTCCCTGCAATGAGTTGAGCCCAGAATGAGCAGAAGTTACAAACCCACCCAGGAATCCAGATGGATATTCAGGCAGCGTGCACTGGGGCTCCTGCTGCCACAGCACGGTTGCAGTTCGCCTAAACCATGCCGCTGGCTACCAGCATGAGCATATTTATGCTAAAAGTAGACCCACATGTAGTCAGCATTTGCATGCCATGTTTTTTACATAGGCAAGCATTTGATAGCAGTTTAACCCCCGTGCATACTGGAGTCTGGAGAAACTAAAATTTTAACTCTTCTCCTCCCTTCTATTCTGTTACAGTCATCCTGCTACTTTTCGTCCCAGAAACAGCAGCATTTCACCATACTCTTCTGGCCACCATGAGCTTTTGAGATGATAAGGGTGCTGCTCAAACAGACACTGTGCTTCTGATACAGCTGAATGTGAAACACTGCAGTAGACAGCAGGAGAGTTAACCAAGTGACAGAAAAGTCCAGTTCTGAAAATTACCAAAACTCCCCTCTAACTCCTCTCAAAGCAGTCTTACCCATCAACCAGGATAATGTTAGTGCTTCACTGTCGGATTTGGAAACCCAGCTGTTTAAGTATCTGAGTGCCTTTGATAACCTAGACCTTCAGCTGTGTCAATCCTTGACCAAAAAATTTCACAGAAGTTGGGACAGAGGAGGGAGGAGGATGGTGGTTGTAGTGTGAAATAAACTAAAAGGTTAAAGGACAAAGTGCTCCAATTTTATCTGATGAAGCCACAGGAATTATCCAGATTCCCAGCAGCACAGGAATGGTTTCTTATCCTGCTGTCACAGCAAAATGGGTCAGACTCCAGTGAAACGTGTGTTGGAAGCACACATGACAGAGCTGGCAGCGCTCAGTGGAAGAAGTGAGAAAATTCCTCGTTCTCCCCCCAGAAGCAAATGTTTTTCCTAAAGTCATAGCTGGAAGTGCTAGGGCTGGGAAGGCTTGCCTGGGCAGTGACAGGAGGCCAGGTGGCGTGTAACTCACAGAAGAAGAGGAAAGGCAGTTTGGTTGCCATCTCCTAAGGCTACTCAGTCTTCAGTTTGGCTGAGGAAACAGGCCTGGCTTTTGACTCCCCAATTTGCTAATTCAGTTAAGATCTGAGAGTTCTCTGTTCTTATTTTCTCCCCACAACAGTAGAAAAGATATTCTTAAGACATTAAGCGACTCTTTCTAATGCCAAGGGTGGGGGCTGCAAGAAACTGCGCAGACGAGTTGAGGAGCCTCCCTTGGTGGAGGATTTTAAGAGCAGGTTAGCTGTAGAAATGGCTTACATTGGACTGACCGGGGCAGTGAAAGAGAGACGGACAGTGAGACAGATGGACAGTGATGTTCCCTGTGTATTCTCTTCAAGGGAGGGATGACCTGACACCCACAGATTATTTTTGCGCAACAAAATTCAAATCCTTTATGATGAGAATCAGGTAAAAATGAGACTAAACTCTGAACATTCATTTATTGCCTTACTTTTCCCCCTTTACTTTCCTGGTCACAATAGAAAGTCTCTTAAGGGAGTTGTCATGCATAATTTAACTAGGTATTTCATTTCTATTTGGTTCATTATGGCTGAGAACATAAACTGGGAGGAGTTTTTAAGGAATTTTTTGCAAGCAAACTCAAATCAGCAGTGATCTTAGGTTTAATACATGGAGGGAATAGGGGGAATGTTTTCTCTTCATCCCTACACCCAGTTTAAATACTGGTTCTTAGACAACCAGATCCCTTCGGTATGCTCCATCCTTACAATGCAGGTTATGGCTAAGTTACATGAACGTTTGTTCATCTTGAAGGCTCCAGTCCAGAGGGTCATTTGGCCTCCACAGCATCCGTTGAGAAGGCAAGCATACCCAAAGCCCAACAGTGTGTTTCCAAAATCTACTACAGGGAAGCTACTGGGCTTCATCGTCATTACAGGCTGCCCAGTGAGAGAAGAAACTGGTTCTGAGAAAGCAAAAAGGTGATGGGAAGAGGGAGAGAGGAAGAGAAAGAAGTTTGATGAGAAGTGGGAGTTAAGGAAAAGAAACCACCACCACAGCAACACTTTGAAAATACAGAGATTATTTGCAGAAAAGTGCTGCTCCGCTGTCAATGTTGTGTAATGCAAACACAAGTTGTTTCTTTCCTCCCACTCTGCACAGGGTGGAGCAGGGACAAAGGGCCACCTTGGAAATACACACAAATAAATGACAGCTAAAATCAAAGTAAACACAATGATTTTAAGGCACATAAACTTTACAAGGCCTGTTTGTGGGTTTTGTTTTTTTTTTTAATGACACTAATGCCTTGTTCATCACAGACATCCAGGAGGGCTCAGTACAGGTCAGGTAGCTACCTTTCTAACTATCCCGGCAGCATGCAGATGTTCATAAACAGCAAAATAATCCAGTTTGTCAAAGCTCAACTTTTACAGGGGAGTGTGGTCTAGATTTAGCCTCAGGATCAGGCCTGAAAATCAATGCTGAACTGCATAACCACATTCACTTGCACAGAAGATAATTAAGTTGCCCAACAACCACAAGAACAAAAACCCTAAACCATAGTTTGCCCAAAGTGATGCCAATGAGTTTGTTAGAGGCACAGGTCATCTGAGTCCTGATAAGTCCTTCTACTGCAAGACCATCCCTTCCCCTGTGTTTCTAAGGTGTAGTACAAGACAGGTTGTGTTGTCTCCAGCTTGCTACAATTTGCATCAAAGCAAAAGCTTATAAAAACAGATGGAAACTGGAGCTTTCTTCAGTTATTCTATTTAAATCTTCTTGACTATCAAATCGTTATCTCTACGCCCATTTCTTAGCTAGTCAATCCCTTCTGGGTAGCCATGCATGTAAGCAGAACTCCTGGATCATGCATGGAGAAGTTTTCCACTATAAGCATCCCCTTCCTGAAGTAAAGTGCCAGTTCTCTGACCTAGACCCATTTATCCACAGTTTAAACACAGATCTTTTATTTTATTTTCAAACAGAATCCTCAGATGGGAGGAAGACTCAATTAAAAAAAAAAAAAAAAAGGCAAAAACCAACCCTGTAATCCCTCAGAATGAGCATCCAACAGTTTTGCTGTTTGTGAAGTCTGGTGGATGCAGCCATGAGCATGGGGATCCAGGTAGCCAAAGCAGGCTAGCAAGCAGGGACAGAGAGCAAGCAGCAAAGGACCGGCTGCAGGCTCTCGCCAGGGTGAGAGCAGTATGTCAGGGATGGACCAGGGAGTTTTAAAATCCAACCCATCTCCAGAGAGAAGGGAGACTTTGCACGTGTGCATGTGTTTGTGTGTGTTCAGTGGTGGGGCAGTACTACTTCACTTGGCCATGGAAAATAAAAAGCCCGTCACAAAAATCTACATTCAGAAACATATCACTCAGGACCTTCTCAAGGGTGTTTTAGCCTTTGTTTTCTGCCTCTCATGGAGCCATGCACCATCTCCTTTTCAACCACAGATGTGTCTAATGCCTCCCATTAACCAACCTGTGTACCCCAACCAGAGCTTCTGTACCATGCGCATGTCTTACCAAGCAAGCAGGTGCTACCGGAGAAGCTGTGATCCTCACACAAACCCAAGTAAGGCGATACCACCTGCTTGACCAGTTCTTCCAGCTGTAGGTAGCCCTCACTGGGGCCAGTAGGCTCATGGACACTCTGAAATTCAAACATAAAAAGTCAACGTTACCCTTACATAGATTTGAGTGAGATTTTTTGTGTAAAGCCTGGGGTCTGCCAAATATCTCTGCACTGGAATATCCCAACCGTATCAGTAGATCATTTGGAAGAGCACAGCTGACAAGCCCAAATGGAGGTTCTGGGTACCATTCAGGTCAACCTCCTTGTTCATGACATAGCCTACGGAGGTTGAGCAGCTAGCTGTCTTTTTTCTGACCAAGGGATAGGAAGGTACAATCACACTGAGGATTTGCACAGTGTAACTACAGCAACATAATTATACCAGGGCAGTTCTACTGCAAAACATCTCTTTGTAGAAAAGCTTTAACACACTTTGCACAAAGCACAGCTCCTTTCCTAGGCAGGACTGCAGGAAAAACATCCTCTGTAGTTCAGCTGACAGCTGTGAAGGTGGTAGATAACACTAACCAACTTAACAGTCATTTCAGCAACCATTCACAGACTTAAGTTCCTGCAAATAAGCTTTCTTTCTCAAATACATCACTTTGAGACCCTCTTTGCCCTCAAGATTCTTTTATTAAAATATTTCAGGGAAATGGAGCTAGCACTTTCATATCTCCTGCTGTAAGAGCCCGGGTCACTGGGAACATCAGAACAGCGAGAACTCATACAGAACACCAGCTTAGCCACTTCGCAATTTTGATTGTACTCCAGAATGTTTCATTCACCACCACTCATTATAAGGCATATCAGAGAAGAAAAGTGAGAGTTTTTTGCAGGAATGTCAGGCTGGGCCATATAAAAAGATAAAACAGCTGGTATACTTGGCTGTATTTGGCATGCCTGGAAAATATTCTCTTGAAGTCTAGATAAAGAGGATAGTCCTCACAGAGGTCTGGGTCTCTTGGGAGAGGCCTTTGGAAGATGTATAGCATTTTGCTTCCTGCCATAAGGTCTTCCTCCTCTCATGGGCACTGCTCAGCATCCCAGCCAGCCTGTGTCGGGCAGGCAGCAGACACAGCTTGGTCAAAGCCCACAGTCCACATTGATGGAGACTCACCCTGCTACTGCAAAGCTGAGAAACCAGGAGAACTAGGGCACAAAGAGGCATTAAGAGAAGCTGGGAGATGAGAATTTATGTGAAAAAAAAGAGTCTCAGAGTGTTCCTAGCTGGGGAGGAGAAGTACCAAGAAAAATACAAACACCAAAGAGCAGAACCCAGCCCTTTCACAGCAGCATCCTTACCTGTTCCCAGGAAAGCGGAGGACATTCAAATTCAGCTCTCACTTCTACATTTACCACTCCCAAAGAAGCAAACATCACTTCCCCTTCATCACACCCTCTACCCTCCCCACTCTCTTTTCCAGGATTTGTATTAGTTCAAGGAGGTCGAGGTATTCAAGAGGAGTCAGAAGAAGAGGAGCAGAGGCTCCCTACCTGCAGAATTAGCAGCATCTGGACAATGGAAGCTGGGAGCTTTGTCTGGACCAGAGGAAGAATTTCTTCCAATTTAACTTTTAGCAAGACCAAGTCTCTGAAGCCAAGAAGAGCAATCTGACGGATTGTCAACTCCTGACCCTAAAAAGAACAGAAGACAAAATCCAAGAGTTGGTAAAGAGTCATGTGAGCATCACACCAACACATGTACGCACACAGAAAGGATCTATCCTGGCCATTGCTGCTGTGGCAAAGCACCCCCCAGCTGCTCAGGATGAGGATTCATGGTACTCTTTGGTCGCTTCCCTGTCGGTCTCTGTTCCACACAAATTCAGAAATGAGTAACACCTAATTTGAGGTGCCACTAGGTTTGGAGTGAAGCCAAAAAAATGGGCCTGTATTTCACCAGAAGACTAGGTATTCACAAAACCCAACGGCCATCCAATTTGGTCACAAACATCCAAAGCCCAGGGTCGATGCAGCTCATGCTTTTTGCCACTCAGAGCTGAGAAACCAGAGATGGTTTGGTGGGGAAAAAGGTTGGTACAGAGTATTCCTTAACTAAGCCTACCTCTGGTCTGTCTTGGATCCTCTTTTTGCTCAATGTCTGCACTTTGGACCTTGCTGATATGACAAAAAATCCACAATTCAGTCCATTACAGATTTTAGGATTTAAGCTAGCGAGACCGCTTGGACCAAACATCATTTTAAAAAGCAACGGCTTTGATTTCCACTGCGAGGCACTCTGTATCTTCCCAATAACTTTTTACACCAACACCACAAGTGAGCAGGCTTAACAGACGAAGATGTTGTAATATTTTTCATTGTATTTAAACACAGTGGGATTCCATTTAGCATTCTGGTGTTGCTGCCTTTCCCTCTGCTATGCTTGATGTCCTCATGACTTTCTCTTGCGCCACTGCAGCTTAACAGCAGAAATTTTCATCCCAGCCCTGCCTAGCACTTTCCAGCCTGAAGAGTTTCCCTTGTTCTTCCCAGCGTTAATCTCTGCCTCATGGCCTATTTGGGAACCATTTTACAGTCTCCATAACACACTCAACATGGCAAATATTTAGCTGGAAGGAATTAACAGCAGTTAATCATTAATACATAATGGGTTTAATGTCATAATTAACAGCATCATCAATATGCAAATACGAATTAAAGGCAATAGTCTGGAGGGCAGCTTGGCCATAATAAAAGCACTTTGCTGTTTTAAACCATCCCTGTGTATTTAGAAACATGGAGGTGTAGAAAAGACCGGTACATAACTCTGAACTACATTTCAGCAGCTGCATACTTTTTATTTATATCATGCAGTTTAGTCCCATTAACTTCATACCTCATTTCAAAATGCAAACATCTTGCTGTGCCAAACAAAACAAGATTTGCTATTCTTTTTTCCACACCAAGTAGTTACATCGGCAGCTGCAACTATACAAAAAACCAGTGACCTGTTTGCATAGTTTCCCTCTGTACAGCAATTTAACCAACTTGGCTGTTTAAAGGTCATATTTCTGCAACAGCTACGAGCGACGGGTTTAAACTTAGCTGGGATAGGAAGTTATTTCTAGCTACTACCTTGGGTAACATACACTTACACATTTGGCTGACTTACTTTCATTCTGAATGGGATCACAGAAGAGCACAACGAAACAATCACGTTGACATTTGCAACAAAGGATGGGGAACCAGCAACAAATTCCCTTTCCCATCTGCCAGAGTAGAGCATGCAGAACTGTGACTTGGTAAAAGAGATTTGGTAGATAAGCTGTCTCCATATGTGGTGAGACACTGCATGAATATGTACATACAGTTCCCAGTTTGTAGGAAGAGCCCCATCTTGCTATTAGGGCACTCACCTGGGATAAGAGCAATTTCTTACTATTTGTTGCACCAGCAACTCTCTCTGTTGTAGCCTAGGGCAGCTTACTCAGAGTCAAATTCTTGGCTATATTTAGGCAGTTTAAACCCATACAATTGTGTAGGACTTAGGTGCCTACAAAACTTTAAATACGCTGTCTGTTACCTTTCAGTTCCTCATCCGTAAAACGGCAACACTTCCCTAACTTCAGAGCTTCTATGAAATATTTCTGAGTGACTCAGATATTGTGACAAGATGAATACAGTAAGAAAGGTATTCTTTCAAAGAATCTCATCATCCCATAGTCATGCTTTCACTACTACCCCCAAGTTACTTCCAAAAGTTCCATCCACTGTGCAGTAACTTTTGTTCAGTTTCTCGTTAGAGATATTTAATAGCAGGGGAGTAGTTTTTTTCCGCTAAGTGGCAGAATTATTAGCATCAGTGGGTATAATGCTCAGTTAGCTCGGCTGTTTCCCCAGTGCACAGACAAACCCCTGCTTCGATAGAGTAGGTCACTCCCTGACCTAAGCTGCAAAAGGAAAGAAAGGGAGGATATTATAACGGCACAGTTTTACCTGCCAAACACCTACCTTTAAGCATCTGCAGCAAGGAAAGAATAAAAATAAACACAGTAGAAAGGTTAGTGTCTGTCTTTACAGAAGTAATTTATCTTTTAGGAAATGCCAACTTTAATAGGATTAGTGGGAAAGGGCAACCTTTGAGCTTTACCTGCTGCCTTTCAAACAATACAAGGGAAAAATAATTTTAAAAGGCTCTGGAAAGCATGCCTCATGGAAGAGACAAAAGTCAAGAGGAGGAGGCTAGCATTTCCAAGAACATCAGTCTCCTCATGAGGCAGATTTTTCTTTTCCTCTGATGGAAGAGAAGATCAAAACAGGCTGGGAAAGTAATTAGACCACTTGTATGGAAAACCTGACTAAAACTACTTTTAAAAGTGATGCAGTTCAACACTTCTGATGGGATACTCAGCTTTTTCGAAATACCCAGTGTAAACAGGTCTTACATAAAGTTGTTCATTCATTCTCTACCCACAGATTTACTTGTTCCCTTATTAAAACACACCAAAAAACAAAAACAAAAAAAAACCCCAAAAAAACAAACAAAAAAAAAAACCCAACACAACAGAAGATTTTCCAAAGGCACAACTGGGACATAAGCCCTCCAAAAGTAGTGAGGGCAAATTGAACACATTTGCTCCTGATGTAGTCTTCAGATTTGTCCCTCTGACGACAAGTTGTCAGTGTTGTCATCTGTATCAACAGAGTCACAGGTATTAAAAACCAGAAGAACTGTAAGTACAAGTGGCCCAGAGCTTCATTTTAAACAAGGTATAGTGGAGGAGTAGTTTCAGTGTTCAAGCTTAGCTAAGCACAGACAGAGGGCAGACAAATGTGAATAAATTCAGCCCAAAACACTGTGCTTGTCCAATAATTTTAGCAGTCCTTCTTACACAGTTAATGTTGACTTGGGCAAACTCTACTTCCTCGCAGATTCACTTTAAAGGTTTTGAGAACTTGTTTAGCCACTGGCCAAACAGTGCTGCTGGAAGAGAAGAGAAATTTCCATGTGCTGTTAGCAGAAATTGCAGTTACATTGTCTCACCTGAATGAAGACTGAATTATAATTAAGATTACCTGGACCGGGTAGAATATTGCCTGGAGTGTAGGAAGAGTCTCTGTAAAATAGTGATCCCAGATTTCAGACAAGACATCAATGCGATCCTCACCTACAAAAACAGAGACAGGGAGCAAGAGCTTTTACGACAGGGACACTAAAATCAAGTTGCATTTTCCCAGTATTCTCCAATTCCCCAAATAGGAGCTACAAACCCACCCTTCACATTCACAGTTTCTGTTCCAAAACCGGCAATCACTCAGATAAGCTTTGCCTTATCTGACAGAGACACAAGGCTGTGACCATACACAGCTCTGGAACTTACTGCAAAGAAGACAGCTCTGGGCAAAACATGAGACCAATTCCAAGAGTGAAACCCCTTTTCAACTTAGACTTTACGGCAAAGGATTGTATAATCTCACGGCTTGCAGTTAGCATGCTCAACTAGCATGGGAGCGTGTCTGCACATTAGCATCTGAAGCTGAAAACCAGCAGGTCACAGCCAACATCAACTGTTCTGCAGCAACTGAGTCAGAGAGACCATTTACAAGAGCGGAGTCCCCTTTGGCATCCCCCACTCCCAAGCATGGACACAGCAGTCAGGACCCTGACAAGCCAAAAAGCCACCATGCTCCTCTCAAATGTGGCATTTGGGAAAGTTCCCAAATGAAATCCACCCCTCATATGACTCCAGCTCAAACAAACAACCCCAAATATAAGTAGGTATTTAAAATGATGGTAGACTAAGTTACACAACTCACGATTCCCATAACAGGAATACTTCTGTGGTCAAAAGCTTATTATTAATAACAAATGCTTTACTGAACATAATCATTAGAATAAACTTTTTCAATTACACTCATAGGCTTGACTTACAGAGCTGTATGTTCCTCAGCATTTGGGCCCAAAGCCTCTAAGTTTTTCAGATTTTTCCCATCCCAAAGGCCAAAGGCTTGCAGTGTTTTTTTCAGGCTTTAGATAGATTCCCCAGAAATTTCAGGTGCAAATACAGACCCAGGTTTAATAAGACAAGTTTCTGACAAAAGGATTTTCCAGGATACTTTCCTCAGAGCCTCAGCTGGAGCTCACAAGCAGTCAAGACTCAAGGAGCTTTAACGGAAGACAGCTGCTCAAGACAGCTTTGAAGGCTCAGCCTCGAGGTGCCTAAAGACCCTACATGAGGAACTGGAACACAAGTAAAATTGCAACTCCAAGGAGCCTTATCACTGTGTACTGCAGTGCTTTCACCATCCCTTCCACACAGGCTTTCACTGTGCTTGCCCGTGGCTTGTGCTGCTTAGGCCATGGCCAGAGAGTAGAGATCCAGCAGGACCAGATTGTGCAGACATTTCCTTTCAAGCAGAGAGCACACTGACAACCACAGGAAGGTTCAGAGGGAGGCTTCACCATGTCAGCTACAACGCCAGCTTCAAAACTGGAACTGCAGGTGGATGAGCACTACCCAACACCCCCACAACCCCTACCCATTACCAGAAACTGCCAACTGTAAGTGAAAAAGACAACAGGAAACAGACTCATTGAATGTTTAAATTTTCCCCTCCTCTGGCTCCTCCCCATGACTTTGGTGTGTGGAGCCAGAAGGAAATGTTACAGATCACTTCTCCTTCTGAAGGGGAGGGGGGAATGGTTTGTTTCTTCAAGAAATCATAAATCCATTGAAAGAGATACTGACAGACTGCATAAAGAAAAATCCCATTAAAATAAGAGGCTGTGGTTTGAAAAACAGACACAGTAAAACATTGCCATGCCCTAAAAAAATTATTCCGTATCTGAGTACTGTGACAGCAGAAATTTTCCAGGAAAACGGAGAAAACTGAGAACCATGTACAAGAAGTTCTTACTGCTGTGACCACAAGACCTGCAACAAGCCTGCACATTATGAAAGAAAGGTGCCCATGAGTAATCTCATGGAGAGATGCCAGCCTGCATGGGCAAAGTGGCTCCAGTGTCGCTTCAAACTAGGGACAAAAAAAATGAGGCATAGGAAGAGGGTTTTGCTGTCTGCCTGGGAAACTCCATCTTACCCAGACTCCTCAAGCAGCTGCTAAGTACTCCCAAGCAGCTCTCATCTTATGGCAGATTGGAATTCAATGTTCATAATGCTAAAACAGATATTGGAATACTTTTATGCAAATACAGAAAAGAAAACCTATGATAAGCTGTGCAGCACTCATTCTGAAGAGCTGGCAGAGGCAGGGCAGAGAAAGCGCATTTGCAGCCTTCCAGTACTTAAAGGGGGCCTATGAGTCTGTCTTTCTTCCTCCCTTACAGGGCCAGTGCCAAAGCAGCATAGAATCACAGAATGGTTTGGGT